GAAGGGAGTGTCAGACTCTTACTGACTAAAAACCACCCCGTTCCTTCTCCTGCACGTCGAGCCGGAGCCCCGATTGCCCGTTAGGTTCTCCGCGACTCCGAATCGGCAACAGCCCTATTGGGCCCCATCTGTGTGGTCTGATGGCTCTTTGAGGCGCGCGAGGAACGCGACGCGGCGTACACTCAGGTCTGTTTCTGGTCGGACGGGGAGCCACCCATGCTCGCCGTCCGCAGGCCCGCGCTTACGGTGGCCGGTTTTTGTTACCCCTTCATTATTCTTTTCTCACATCTCACATACATCTTGAAAAATTTAACACTTAACACAGACATTTTTGTCTACCCCTCTGCATTAACCAGGGATGTTATAGATATGAAATTTCGTATACAGATTGGATATGGATATAGAAATGATTATTATACTGGATTTTTTTAAAGGGGGGAAAATCATCGAATGACTGCTCTCGCCCGAGCGAGGGAGTGTCAGAATCTTACTGACTAAAAACCACCCCGTTCCGTCTCCTGCACGTCGAGCCGGAGCCCCGGTAACCCGTTAGGTTCTCCGCGACATTATAATGTTGGATACGGTAACGGATATGGATATGAAATGATTTCGGATTACCCGTTAGTTTCGGATAATTTCGATTACGGATTTAAGGAATTTCAAAACTAAAATACAAATAGCTAATATAATGGTTTCAATTATACGTTACGTCTCTATCGTTTAGTATCCGAAAATTATTTCCGATTCAGTTACGGTTACAGATATTTTTTATATCGGATATCCGATAGTTTCGGTTACGCTCACGGAGCTCCCTAAAATCCCTGGCACTAACATTTTTTTTATGACAAGCCGGTAAACAATCAGACGGATCACCTGATGGTAAGCAATCGGCGTCACCCGTGGACACCTGGAACACCAGAGTCGTTACAAGTGCGTTACCGGCCTTTTGGGGAATTAGGAGTTTGACGATCGTTGGGGATTCAGGAATTGGGGAGATTGGGGAAGGGGGCGGGTAATTGGGCCTCCGGTAACCTCACTCACACGACGAAACACAACGCAAGCATTGCTTCACGTCGGTTTTCTGTGAGGCTGTGGTATCACTCCGGTCGAGCCGGCACATTCGTGTCGAAGCATGGCTCTCCCACACTTAAACATCCATATTGCCCCCTGATCAAACACAATGCAGTTTATGACCCACAATTTCATGCCATCAGCCATCAATATGATTAATTGGTCCCAATTGAGCACATCAATGCATTTGTATTGTATTGGCATACAATTTGAATATCTATTGAACCAGTTTGTTGCTCCTTTTTATAGACTAAAGTTTAACTGGTTGTCCCTCGGTTGTCGGTGTGTTTGTACACAGCTTTTTGGTGTTAATCAAATCATAATATATATCATAGACATACACTTTCCTCGGGCATTAAGAAAGACATTGTTTATTGTAGAAAATCACACAAATATTTCACGGTAGTATGTTTATAGCTTTCATACATACATACAGACAGATAGACGGACAAACTGATTTTACAGGAGATATACCGGGCACCATTTCAGACTCCGTGCTACATCTTCCTTTTTTAAAAAAAATCCTGTAGAACTTTTCCCGACTAGACCTATGTTTGCAAATCTATATAAAAATATAAATAAAAATGAAACCCATTTCCCGTTGTCACGCCATAACTTGAGAACGGCTAAACTGATTTGGCTTATATATATGATATTTTTTTGTTGTGTTTGTTATTGTAAGGTTTTTATGACAGAAAAAAAGGCTGAAAATCATAAGCTAACGGGAGAAAATGAAATTGCACGTGCGAAGTCGCAGGCAAAAGCTAGTAAATTAATTTAACAATCTACCTAACAGAATTAAACACTTTATTTTACCTGTAGATAATTAAATACCACATGGCATAACTACATTATATTTTAATAGTATTTGATTCACAAAGCAGTAATAATTATTTATAGTATTAAAGCAAGATACGGATACAATTTTAATTCTATCCTTCCCTAACCTTACCCAATGCCCCTTGAATTGAAGGTAGAGTACTATAATTATGTGGAAACTTATTATTGAAGACATCACATACATATAATATCACGCCTTATATCCGCGAAGGGGTAGGCAGAGGAGCACATTACGGCACTTAATGCCACTGTGCAGTGGCATGTACAATGTAACACCAACTTTTCACTAACTATTGTAATAGGAGGTGAGCCTATTGCCATATACCGATCACAATTCCAGACTCCGTGCCACTGCTGATAATATTTTTTTAAAATGAACTCGAGGCCCCTTGCGACTGCCTAACACAAAAAGTATTTTTCAAATCGACCCAGTAGTTCCTGAGATTAGCGCGTACAAATAAAAACTCTTCAGGTGACAAGTGAGTGAGTGAAGTGAGTTTGTGTGTATGTTTGTTACTCAATCACGTCAAAACACGAAGGGATCAGGATAAAATTTGGAACACTACTTTTTACTTTTTATCCCACGGAATTTGGGTTAAGCCACTTGCAGAAGCGAAAATTAAGAATTAATAATATTAAACCTTGTTGATTGTGTTTGTAAGAGTGACTGCCAAACAGAGAGTCTTTTTATTTTTAAGGAGGGAAATCATCAAATGACTGCTCCCGCCTGGGTGAGGCGGGAGGGTGTCAGACTCTTACTGATTAAAAACCACCCTGTTCCTACTCCTGCACGTCGAGCCGAGGCTCCGGCAACCCGTTAGGCCTTTCGCGGCTCCGTATCGGCATCAGCCCTGGGCCTCATCCGTGGTGGTTTGATGGCTCTTTGAGGCGCGCGCGGAACGCGACGCGCCGTACGCTCGGGTCTGGTTCTGGCCGGGCGGCGAGCCACCCATGCTCGCCGTCCGCACGCCCGCGCTTATGGTGGCCGGAGATCGTCCCGCGATCCCCGACGCCCGGAGTGTCCTTTGCAAACAAAGGATCTTGGGTTCAATTGTTATTGTAGGGTTGGGCAAATAGCTACTGAGTTTCATCATAGTGGTAGTATGGAGGCTGGACATCAGCCCAATGTATGGAAATCTCTCCTACAGACTCGCCCCTATTATATGGAGCTACATTATTGGTGAAAAATGGGTGATATATTGTATTCAAACACCTCTGCCTCTACCTCTGTATATTAAAAAAAGGTGTGTAAACATTATGTTTAGTAATCAAACATAATAAAACCTATTTATAGTTCATTCAACTTTCACCTCTATTCTAGAGTCGATATGGTAGACATTGCAATAAAAATTGTGCACTTTTTAATTGCTGTTAAAACAACATACCTCATGAAAATTGTTTTAGAGGTAATTTTTGTGTGCATGCAGTATTTTCTTTAGAAGGGGTGATTGACCTATTTTTCTAGGTTTTCGTCATTACAGTTCAGAGGAATTAAAATAGGTTGCTTTTGTAATAAAATCAAGAATTTGTATTGATAATGAAAATTGCGAAAAAAAAAAAATACCATGTCTAGAAATGAACTCAAAATAAGTGTAATACAGGTTACTGGGTCAGTAAGGCTTGGAGATTTAAAAGTTAATATTAATACGTTAATATTAATAGGGCATTAAAATTAGTTGCCAAAAATATATCATTATGAGTTACATTCATTGTATAGTGAGTTAAAATTGTAATTAAAATGATTCCAAACCACAATAACGACGAGAATCCACGTAATTACCATCAAAATCACCAACAAACCAATTAAAATTAATTATTTGAGCCATGTTTACCCTAATTATTATTCTTTAAACATTAGCATTTGCCGCATACTTTACTAAATTCACGTTATACACAATATCCTACAAACAAACGTTTCACGGCTAACGGTGGAACAAAAACGTACATTTTTCAGCGTCCTAACCTTCTACCGGCGTTCTAATCAGTAGCGGTAACAGCAACAATTAATTTTTAAGTCATTCTACAATAATACCACGCACGGCGGCGAACACGCTTTCTTAAAATTTACGCTCTTTTATGCACAAGCGATCACGATCAACCGTACCATATTTATATTATTTTTTTCACACCACCGCTTGTTTCTTCCGCACTAACAATTCAATGATGATTCTCAAAGATACAGAGATTCAAAATAAGCCATACGACACCGCGAGAAACCACTGAACAACCAAATAAAGACAACAAAATATACTATGTCCATCTTCTGTTACACTGACCTGTTTCTCGTTATAGCAGCATCAGCGGCCCCCAAATACGCTTCCATCAAACATTTAACACTGTACAGAACTTGAAAGTTAACAATAAATGTTTATTTCACACAATAATCATTCAGTTTTTGCGATTTTTTTTATTGTGACACTCGCGGGTTACTGCAGACAGCACAACGCGTTCGCGAGTTTTGAGTGTTGCCAGTTTTGGAAGTTTATAAACTACTATTTTCAAGGTTAGGTAGAAAATATAAATAAATCCAAAAAGTGTGGTATGTATAACAAAAAATTCAAATGTCTTCTGCTTGCCTATTGAAGGTTTATAATAAATGTAACGATTATTTTTTACTGGCTAATTTTAGTAATGCTTCTTTTTTTTTATTTGTCTGGTTAGCAACGACTGCTCAAAAAACTTTCAATGGCTATTTTGTTACTGTGATCAAAGATTTTTCAATAATTATGATGTATTTTTGAAAAATATAATGAATGACTCAACTGATTTTTTAGTGAATAAACTTTTCGTAACACGTTCTTTCAAACGAAACTCGTAGGTATTAAAAGGGACAAAAAGACTAGTACCCAAAAAACTTGCTCAACAACACAGAAATGAAAACTTGGAACGCGATAAATATTTTGTTATCTATGTATATTTTGACAGCTAAATGACGCGTGTTTTGTTTCGATTTCCGAACGAATTTGAAAACGTCATTCTATCCAAACAGAATCGATAATTTTTTCATTCATGATTGAATTACGATAGAATTATCTTATTTAACTAAATGAAAATATTGTGATTAATTAAGTTTATTGTTAAGTAGCACAATGATTAAGGCAATATTAGTGTTCAACAATCATGGGAAGCCGAGGCTGTCGAAATTCTACCAATATTTCGTAAGTGAAAGTTTTATTTTTTTATTTTGTGTACAAAGAAATGCGTGCATTATACGCCTATGGCCGTAGCTTATTTATACTTAAAACCGGTTACTGTGTGGAGATTTTGATGATCAAGTCGTAATAAAATAAATTCTTAACCTATCAATTATTTTTTTCGTTTGTCACATAATGTGGGCGACTATCATTGGGTATTTGAACTTATTTTTATTAATGTATACATAAGTAGATAACAGGACGTCTCATTCGGTTGTTTACATTTATTTCAGTATTTATTCGATGCATTTGAAACCGTAAATAAGTAGTAGTAAGTCACAATAATGCGTGAAATTGAGGAAATAAAAATACTCAGATGCAGTTTTGCGTACTCATATTTACATTATTATCTTAAAAAAGCCATATTTTTCATTAATCAAAATTTATTGATACACTACAGCTTACATCATTAAGTTATACTGTTAATCTTATATAAATACTATTATTTAGGTACTTAAAAACAAACTAATTAGGTAATTGAATGTCAGAAAAATTATACAAAAATGATAAGTATTTATTTTTAACAGTTTAGTATCAGTATTACAACAACATTATCTTATACACAATACAAAGAATTAGTAGGCATGTCTATCACAAACAGGATACAATAAACGAGAGATTACTGATTATGTTACTTCTGACTCCTGTTTATGACTTTGCCAGCATAAAAACTAGCCTAGGCATTACTCCAGATCATTATCTATCTCCATGCCGGATTTCAATTAGATCCTCTTAATTGTAAGTGTATGGAAGAGACATAAATATCCATAATTATATCCGCAGAAACAAAAGTTTCTTTACATTTAAAAAAACATTGTTCCAAAAGTATTTGCTTCTGTATCATGTACTAATATAATTTCACAGTATCTGGATGACTAAGCATCGCTCAGTGTTTTTTTAGTAAACAATAAATTTCGAAAATGGAACCTAGCTAGATTGATTTATCAAAACCCCGAAATAAAAAAAAATTTAGAAAATCAATAGATTTTTGAGGTTGTTTATATGGCAACTCTCTCTGCTAACTCCATTACAGACCTTATTTCCGATGTATAGAGACTACTTTTTATCAACAAATTTTCAACAAACACCATGACATGGTGACGCCATAGAGGTATCAGTACTATATATCAACATACAAAATTACTCCAAAAATAACCTTAATGACAAATGAAATAGAGGTGTGGTGTCATTGACATAATTTTATAATCTTACATACTTCACTACATAGTATAAAACAAAGTCGCTATTCGCGTCTGTCTGTTCCTATATATGCTTAGATCTTTAAAACTATGCAACGGATTATGGTGCAGTTTTTTTAATGGATTCTTAAGGAAGGTTTCTATGTATAATACATGCATATTGCACCCGTGCAAAGCTGGGGCGGGTCGCTAGTATTAAATAAAGCTGAAGAATTTATTTGTTTACTCGAACGCACTAATCTCTGAAAATACTGGTTTGAATTGATTAATCTTTTCCATTTCTCGAGGTAGGCTATAAAGAAGCTTGCTACAATCAATATGAGCCGAGCTGAGCTGGCGAAAATGCACGGAAGTCGTTGATATGATAATACATAATGTTGAACGAAGCCATAAGCAAATATAAGAAAACATTCAATGAAATATTGCAAATCATTCATATTTATTTAAAATTAAAAAAAATAAGAAACTGTGTCACATACACCACATGGTTTAATATTCATACATATAATATATGTAGAATGGATAATCAACATACAAATGTTTATAATAAATTATCATAAAGTTGACATTTTGTTAGTTATTTTATATTCAACATCTGGGTTCACCATGAGCTATATTTGACATGGCAACAGGTTGTATTATGAATGACATAACTTATTTTATATGGAGTAAAATGTTGATGAAGCATAACATAACATCACGCCATTTATCCCCGTAGGGGTAGTAGTTTAGGGAACAGGGAGTATAGTTCCCTAAGATCGGACAAGGAGGATCCTCCGACCAGGCGAGGTGATCGTGCCTGGCGGGCTTTCTGCCCAACAGTTATTCGTTGGGATTTTCTATCCGTGTTTATTCGCTTGTAAACTTTACATGTGCGATGTAGGATTCTTGTGACGTCATCCGTTGACATGTGGCATGCGTCGCCACAGTAGGAAAATGTACACTTATGCCACTGTACAATCTAACACCCATTTTTCAGTATTTATGTTATGAGTCCCATGTAATAGGAGGTGAGCCTATTGCCATATACCGGGCACAATTCTAGACTCCGTGCTACTACTAAGAAATTTTTAAAAACCCAGTAATACTTAGCCCGACCCGGGAATCGTACCCGAGACCCCTTGCCCGGCAGTCGCACTTGCGACTACTCGGCCAACGAGGCAGTCCTAGCATGATGAAGCATGGAGTTAGTAATTAGTGCCTAACAATGTTTTATTTTTACTTTTCCTATGAGTGTTGTGTGGCGACTAAAGGACTTGATAGAGACAAGGCAGCAGGATACTCTCATAAACCTGAAGCTTTTATACTGTAGTCTCTAACATGATGCATTTGTGATCGAGTCATCCATTCCATCTATGATTTCCAACTGCCTTTCAACTAGCTTCACTTCTAAATTATTATTGTTGACGTTTAAAAGTGCCTTCCTGGTCTAAGTGTGGGAGAGCCATGCTTCGGCACGAATGGGCCGGCTCGACCGGTGTGATACCACGGCCCCATAGAAAACCGACGTGAGACAACGTTTGCGTTGTGTTTCGTCGTGTGAGTGAGGTTACCGGAGGTCCAATTACCCCCTCCCTAGTCTCCGTCTCGTCGACGGTAACGCAATTGCGTTGTCCTGTACCGCGGTGTTTCGAGTGTCCATGGGCGGGGCCGATTGCTTACCATCAGGTGATCCGTCCGCTTGTTTACCGGCTTATGCTATAAAAAATTGAAATAAATGATTTTGACTTTTCTATAGTCCAACAGTCGACTGTTATATGATATTATGTTGATGACAGATATATTTCTTTTACTGGACACAGTTTTATGATTTTATACTCGCATTTGATTACTGAACATCTTGAAATTGAAAACTCAATAATAATTTACTTAATCCAACCTGTTTAGCAGTCAACAGCCTTTGGACAAATGAGGCAGTATTCTAGTTTTTTTTTTAAATATATGTGAATCTACTAAAGCTATGTTTATTATTTATTTCAGAATGAAGATATGCAGCAACAGATAATAAAGGAGACGTTTCAGCTGGTCTCCAAACGGGACGACAATGTGTGCAATTTTCTTGAGGGTGGAAGGTATGACACATGGTTTATATTTTGAATAGTATCCCGTGGAATGGTCACAAATTAATTTACCTACCATGCGTGTCCCGTGTGTTTATGAGTCCTGATCGTGACTTGAAACTAGTTGAGCATTCTCTAAAATTACTAAGCTGTATATATTTTATACTGTATATATTTTATATTTTATACGGTAAGCAATCGGCGTCGCCCATGAACACTCGGGACACTAGAGTCGTTACAAGTGCGTTGCCGGTTGGGGATTAGGAATTTGAGGATTATTGGAGATTGAGGTAATTGGGCCTCCGATAATCTCACTCATACAACGTTGTGTGTGTTTGTTTGTGTTTTGCTTCTTCTTTATAAGAATCTACAAATTGAAACAAGAGAAGCAAATAGCCATTGTAGTGAAGTAGGCGGACAGGCAGTCTTTTACTTTTCTTTCATAAAGAGAAAGGTATTTTTTCATGGGATAAGTCGGTAAAGAAAGACCTGATGGTAAGCAATCGGTGTCGCCCATAGACACTCGGGACACCAGTCGTTACAAGTGCGTTGCCGGTTGGGGATTAGGAATTTGAGGATTCAGAGATTGGGGAACGGCGGTAGGGATAATTGGGCCTCCGGTAACCTCACTCACACGACGAAACACACCTCAAGTGTTGTTTCACTATGGTGTACTGCTCGGCTCCTCAATTAAGGCTCCCACAATTAAATTTCTTTTCATAACATCAATAAACACAATGTTTCAGCTCATTCACGAATATATTTCTTCTATTTACAGTTTAATAGGCGGCTCCGACTACAAGTTGATATACAGACACTATGCGACCCTATACTTCGTGTTCTGTGTCGACTCCTCAGAGAGCGAGCTTGGCATTCTAGACTTGATTCAGGTAAGGACATTATTTTTAGTCTATATTATGTCTTGCAATGCTACCGTATTCATCCGATGGCGCTAATGTAGCGTGGGATCTGTTTGTGTAATCACTATGGCTGACAAAAAAACTACTGTCCAATCGTTAGACAAAAGGTAATTCACAATTTTCAACTCTACCAGTTTGCTACTGTTACGACTGGAAAAATTACGAAAATGAAACTGGCAATAAGCTAAAAACAGTTTTAAACTTTTACACCTACTATTGTGTCTCTCTGCATCACCCTAAGGTTGACTGTTAGAGAATGCCACTAGGCATTAAGTCCGCCATTGTATACACATTGCAAGAAGTGTAAATAAAATAAATCTTATCTTATACTATTATATAAAGCGGAAGAGTTTGTTTTTTTGTTTGTTTGTTTGAACGCGCTAATCTCCGGAACTACAAGTCTTATTTGAATAATTCTTTTTGTGTTGGATAGCGCATTTATCGAGGATGGCTATAGGCTATAAAACATCACGCTTCGGCCAATAGGAGCTGAGCAGAGCGTGTGAAACCGCGCGGCAGTAGCTAGTAAATAAATAAAAACCATAAGATATTGGCTCATCAATCAAGTAGTTCTTTTTTCTTTTTTAATATTTCTGTGAGTTGCACACAAGGGGTCTCTTGTTAGATTGCCGAGTCAGGAAAAGTTGTTTCGACTTATTTCCTTTTTTTTAAGTTTCTCATTAATAGGGTACTTTCCTAAATTTTATTTTAATGTCCGTCTGGTACATTAATTTAAAACTTTAGACACGTATTTCTTTTCTCACAAAATTAAATACTTTCGACGATATATTAATCTGAAATATCGTGTGACGTCACAGCGTGCAACATTTTGTAGCACCACGTTATGACGTAACGACCTCCCTAAACTTAGCGCCATTTTATCTAAGTATTGCAACTTAATACGAGAAAATAGAAAAATACGTGTCTAATATTTTTACATTATCTAACTGACGGACTAATTAGATTTTTAATTTTGATACCCTGGAAACTACCCTATTATCCAACAATAAACCTTTTGACTGCCTCGTTGGCCGAGTGGTCGCAATTGCGACTGCCAGATAAGGGGTCTCGGGTTCGATTCCCGAGTCGGGCAAAGTATTACTGGGTTTTAAAAAAATTCTCAGTAGTAGCACGGAGTCTGGAACTGTGTCCGGTATATGGCAATAGGCTCACCCCCTACTACATGGGACTCATAACATAAATAGTGAAAAGTGGGTGTTACATTGTACAGTGGTATAATGTGCACCTCTGCGTAGGCAGAGGTGCACATGGAAGGGGTAGCCCTTCGAGGATAAAAGGCGTGATGTTATGTTATGTAAACCTTTAGAGTCTAATATTGGACTTGTCATCTTCTCTACAAAAGAAGAAATGGTATTTAAATAAAATTAAAATATTAAAATACTTTCTTATAGGTATTTGTAGAAACACTAGACAAATGTTTCGAGAACGTCTGCGAGTTGGACCTGATCTTCCACGCGGATGCTGCTCATCAAGTCCTGGACGAGCTGGTGATGGGAGGCATGGTACTCCAGACCAACATGGCTGATATTCTGTGCAGGCTACAGGAACAGAATAAGATGCAGAAGGCCGAGGTTAGTCGGAGATATTCCAAAGAGTATTATAATTAACTAGCTTCTGCCCGCGACTTCGTACGCGTAATCCCATTTTTTCCCGTCCCCGTTCGTGATTTTCGGTAATAAGTAAAAAAAAAATGTTGGTTAAAAAGTATCCTATGTCGGTCTCCTGGCTCTAAGCTACCTCCCTACCAATTTTCATTTTTCAGCCAAATCTATTCTGCCGTTCTTGGGTTATAAGTAGTGTAACTAACACGACTTTCTTTTATATAATTATATAGATTTGGACTATTAGTAATTTTTCTATTTTAGATGGCGGTAGAAATTAATTTATTATTAAATGTCACGATTTGATAACGAATGGAGTTTCTTGCTCGTTCTTCTCCATTCGAATCTACATTTTGGAATGAGAGCTTCACTGACGGACAGACTATTATATATTTCTTAGTTGTTGACGTTTTAAAAGTACCAATTTGTGGTTTAATTGAAAATAAAAACTAAATATGAAAAGAAAAAACAGAAAGCTGTTTGGACTAAAGAGTCAGTAAGACACAGAAATATTAAAAAAGGAGAAGTGGCAAGGGGGCGTGTCGGTTACGCTCGCACTTGAGCGCTCCGCTCAATGTAGGAAAATATGGCCGTCACCGCGAGTTAGTCTGTTGTCAACTTGTCACCCGCGATCGTACAACAAACAATAAAATACCGCCTTGTGCAGTGGTTTCGTGCAGACATATAAGGCAAAACAAAAACTGTAGAATTCATGGCATCGGTTACCATGTGTAAGAACAAATATTTACAATATTTATCTTAAAAATCACGAAAAACAAGTTATTACTTTATTTTTCTATATAACTCCGACTGTATTGTGTCTACATTAATACATTGCTCTTTTACAACCACCTTAGTGTGACACTGAGTAACTAAACCAGCAATGTAAAAGTGACTTAACGAAACGCTCATCAAGACGCGATGTCACATGGTGCGTCCGCTGCTCAAGTCCGCCGTATTTGAGCGAGATAGTGATGTGGTCGTGGAGATTTATCAAAGTCTATCGACAAGAAAGTCGACTGCAAATATGTAGTTATATTTGTTCGCTTGTTATGGTTATAGTATTTTACTTTAATCTTCATAAATGAACCATTAGCTTTGTATGCATTATAATGATCAGCATCGCATAGTCATAATTTTGTATTCACAGAGCAGTCTCCCTTGAATAACCACATAATAATATTAATAAAAGTAGTCATATAAAAATATACCACATTAGGACATCATTAATTAACCAAACGCGATCCCCTTCATATCCAAATTATATCATTAACTACATACAACTTGTCGTTTGATTTGTAATATTTCTTTTATATTTTTAATTAACCAAATAATATTTTGTTGGCTTCATGTCGTTTTTACTTTATTTCCAAAACCTTTGTAATAAATTTATCGGGAGCTATCGATATCGTCAAGTCACTATAGCGTCGGTAGATCCCTCCCCTAACACACTCAGTGACAAATTGTTTTAGTGTGAGTAAATCATAGGAGAATATGCGCTGTCGTTTAAAGAATAAGGCTTATATTTGAATTACTGAGTTATCGATGCCGCGTGTGTGCACTTATTCGTAGTATTGTTTTGTCAGAACTGTGTGTGTAATATTAATTTTATGGAGGGGCAGTTGTGACTTCATCGGTTTTGCGTACATTTTTGAGTCGACACCATATCTTCTTCTTTATTATATCTGTGCAGTAAGATTTTGGATTGATTCAGATGATTTCCTTTATTGTTAGACTAGTTGACCCGGCAAACTTCGTATTGCCTAATTTTTTTTTTTTGTTACCTGTTAACCTAAACCTTCCCTAGACTTCCGCGAACATTTCAACATTGGTGTTGAAATGATCGTTGAAGTGTTCGTTAATTTTGTACTTAATTAGCCAAATCGGTGCAGCCGTTCTCGAGTTTTAGCGAGACTAACGAACGGAAATTCATTTTTATTTGTATAGGTTTGATAAAGCCTGAAAAGTGTAATTAAATATAAAAATGTCTACTAGATATTTTTTTTTTACTTTTACATGTGTGTGTCTGTCAGTACCCTTTTTTTGAAGGGGGAAAATCATCCTATTACTTCTCCGCAGCCCCGCGCTTACGGTAGCCGAAGATCGTATACATTATTATATTAATCGGGGCTCCGGCTCGAAGTGCTGGAGCAAGAACGGGGTGGTGTTTAGTCAGTAAGAGTCTGACACTCTCTCCCGCCTCACCCAAGCGGGAGAAGTAATTCGATAATTTTCCCCCCATAAAAAAATAAATATAATAATGTACAAAAACAGAGTAAGCAAATAAGTATATATGGAGGTATTCGTTAAAATATTTAATGACAAAAATATTACGGCCTACCGCCGTGTGCATTGATGCGGCCCTCCGTGCGGTTCATTTGTAGGATCCGCTCACACTAGGCGAAAACCATTATAACATTGTTGACTAGTTATTATAATAGAGTAGATGAATAATTTTTATTTCAATGTCCGTCTGGTAGATTATTTTAAATCATTAGACACGTATTTTTTATTTTCTTACAGAAACGAATACTTTCGACGATATATTGATTTGAAATGTCGCGTGACGTCACTTCTATGTACATTTTATACGTAGAAATGACGTTTTAGCCCCCACTCCTAAACTTTGATTCGTTTTATCTAAGTATTGTTTTATTATACGTCAAAATAAAAAAATACGTGTCTAATATTTTTTAATTACCTAATTTACGGACTAATTATATTTTTAATTTTCATACCCTGTCATCATCCCAATTCTTATTATGTATTTTTTTTTAGTTTTTATATTATACTTATTTTTTTCTATATTCAGGCTGGTATATCAGCGGCGCCGGCGCGCGCTGTGTCCGCGGTGAAGAGTATGAACCTACCGCAACAGCTGCGTGACATGAAGCTCCCCGACCTTCCGCAGGCTATCAAGGTGAGGATACGGAGACCAGCTCGCCAATAGAACTTACCTCTATAGTAGCTTAACTACATTTGAGAGCAAATGAACGGAGCCTCTAGCATTATTTCCCTTTTCGTTTCTTGATAAATACCTATTTACTGATAGTAGTATTTTATTACGCAGTAGTTTTTTGTATATTTGATGGGCCGACGTTTGAACACTATCTCGCCTGGTGGTAAGTAATGATGCGGTCTACGATGGAGCACGTTGTCCCATAAGCAACCTATTCACTCGGGCCTTGAAGACGTCCCTTCAGGAAATACAGACTCGGGCAAGAATTCCACTCCTTAGCGGTACGCACAAGGAAGCTTGATGCGAAGCGCTTCGTGCGTGTGGGTGGGATACCTACCATGAATCGGTGTAGCGTTACCGATTGTCTTGTGGTACGATGATGGAAAGGACTAGGGGGAATCAAGTTATGCAAGCATTTTAGTTTTGTTAGTATTTTATTTTAATATTAATAAAAGTATTTGGTAACGGATCTCGTATAAAAGTAAATTTAGTTAATTTTATTATAATTTTCGTGAGACATACTCAATTAATTATTATGTTTTCGGCTTACTCACGTAACTGTTTGACGAGGAACAGGTGGTACCGGGTGCGTTTACAAACATACAATATTACATACACATGACACCTAGACCCGGAACAACAATCTGTGGATCACACAAAGAGTTGTTCCATGCGGGAATCAAACCCGCGACACGTTGCGCGGCAGCCCAGTTGCCCAGCCACCGCGCCAACCGCGCAGTTTATTTATTTACTCGTCGAATCGAACCTAGGAACAAATTCAAAGCTTTCCAAATTCCGGATTTTCTTTTTTGTTTTGGTTGCACATTTTATATTTATTTATCATGAAAAAAATAATATTACAGGACTTCCCAGTTTCGCTGCATTAGGTTCGAAAGAAGATGAGATACTTTACCTAGGTCGAAAATGTCACAAATTAAACAGACAGCGAGACTGAAATACATACATATACATATATATATATATACAACATGTAACTTAAATAACGCACATCCTGAAAATAGTTTGTTCAGAATCGTTAACTGAATCGATGTATATAATTTTATAGATAACTAGCTGTTGCCCGCGACTTCGTCCGCGTAGATTAATGACTTCTGACAGAATTCATCAGAATCAATTGTCCAATCAGTGCCCAAGTAAGATTTACCTATTGTGAAATGGGTATGAGTTATCGTAGTTTCAATAAATCAATAATCCCGCAGGGATCTTACCAGTACAGTGCCCGATCACGTAAGTTTTGAGTAATAAAAACTATTCTATCAACTATAAGTTCAGTGGTTAAGAGATAGAGAGTCCTGAGGCATTGACGCATAGTTCCCGTTCCCGTGGGATTTCTGTGATAAAAACTATCATACGTTACCCAGGTCCCAAATCATCGTTTTACCGAATGTAATCCAAAAAGATTCAATGATTCTAGATTCAATAGCTAAGAAGATTTATACAAACTCTCATTCCCTATTTTATCCGCATTAGGGTGGAATTTATCAAAATTATTTCTAAGGAAATACCTATGTCATAGTAACTTTATGCATGCAAAGTCTCAGCCCGATCGGTTCAAAACTGGCAAAGTATCATACAAACTTTCACCCCCTATTTTACCCACTTTGGGGTGGAAATGATCAAAATCCTTACTTGGGGATGCCTACGTCATAATATCTACCGGCACGCCTAATTTCAAACCTGATCGGTTTAAAATTGACAAAGTTTCATACAAATTTTCACCCCCTATTTTACCCCCTCAGGGGTGAAAATGATCAAATTCTTTCTTAAAAGATGCTTACGTCATAATATCTACCGGCACGCCGAATTTCAACCCGATTGGTTTAAAATTGACAAAGTTTCATACAAACTTTCACCCCCTATTTTACCCCCTCGGGGGTGAAAATGATCAAAATCTTTTCTTAAAAGATGTTTACGTCATAATATCTACCGGCACTCCGAATTTCAACCCGATTGGTATAAAATTGACAAAGTTTCATACAAACTTTCACCCCCTATTTTACCCCCTTGGGGATGAAAATGATCAAAATTCTTTCTTAGGAGATGTTTAAGTCATAATATCTACCGACACGCTAAATTTCAACCCGATCGGTTTAAAATTGACAAAGTTTCATATAAACTTTCACCCCCTATTTTACCCCCTTGGGGGTGAAATGATCAAAATCCTTTCTTAGCGGATGCCTACGTCATAATATCTATCTGCATGCCAAATTTCAGCCTGATCCGTCCAATGGTTTGGGCTGTGCGTTGATAGATCACTATGTCAGTCAGTCAGTCAGTCAGTCACCTTTGAATTTTATATATATAGATTTTTATCCCAAAAATAATTAAAACTACGGAAATTATTGTCATATTAACCCTGTATTGTTAAAACAAATCGAAATGGACCGTAAGTCAATGCAATAAGACTTTTAAAATCGCAGTTTTATTTGTATTCATACAAATTCTATCATTCAATACAAAATAAAGAAAAATAAACCTTATGACAAGACCAGTAAGGATGCATATACATGTTAAATTAAAAATTTAGTGTATGTATTATGATTATAACATAAAATTCTAATTGGGGTGTCTGAGGGTGTGCGTTAAATACGTTACATGTTGTATATAAATACACATCTGAAAGTGATATAAAAAAGTGCCATTATGAAACCGTCCTGTTATAATTATTAAGCTATATTATGAATAATACTGTTTAAAGAATATCAACCCCTTTTTATATCTTTTTTCCTAATAATTTTTCTATATATCTTTACACATTTCAATTGTTAAATTCCTTATTTTTCTTAAATAAAAAACGTTTACAAATATTATTTTTTTTTATTAAAAAAATACTGAATTTTGTAAGTATTTGTCAGTAACTAACGGCCCTACAGCTTCGCCTGGGTGGTATTTCGTGAGGTTCCCAATAAATGTATCGATTTTTCTTATATATAAACATTGTTTTTATACTACTACAGTGAGACATACTGAATTAACTAACAATTACGAGTTACTCACGTAAATGTACTGAGGAAAGTTCTATTAGTTTCGAGCCACAGAGGGGCTCTTACTCATAATATTCGTGCGCGGTCCAAGTACTGACTGTGATTACAAACTTTGTCCTACCGATAACGAACACGACAAAATAATAATTATCCAATTCGATGCAGTCATTATACAGTTATGGGCGTTTTGGTGATTCATTTCTTTTAATATAGACTTACGGCCTGTCCCGGATTCCGTACTAGTTCCTAACTATGAGTCCCGATACGGATCCGCGGAGAACCTAACGGGTTGCCGGGGCTCCGGCTCGAAGTGCAGGAGAAGGAACAGGGTGGTTTTTAGTCAGTAAGAGTCTGAAACTCCCGCCCGCCTCACCCAGGCGGGAGAAGTCATTCGATGAGCTTCCCCCTTAAAAAAACCTATGAGCCCCATGTAATAGGGACCGAGTCTATTACCATACACATGGCACAATTCCGAGCTCCGAGCTGTGTAAAATACTGAGAATTTCTTACTTCGAAATGTGTAATATTTCACCCACTCTGCTCGGCTTCTACTGACTATACTGTGAAGTTTTGTAACCTATAGCTATCCTCGATAAATGGACTATTCAACACAAAAAATATATCCAATAGGGTAGTTTCCAGGGTAAGAAAATTAAATATCTAATTAGTCCGTCAGTTAGATAATGAAAAAATATTAGACACGTATTTTTTTTTTCTTGTATAATGTTACAATAGTTAGATAAAATAGAGTTAAGTTTAGGAGTGGGAGGTCTTTACGTCACAATGTGCTACATTTTGTAGCACGCTGTGACGTCACACAACATTTCAAATCAATATATCGTGGAAAGCATTAATTTTGTGAGAAAAGAAAAAAGATGTGTCTAATGTTTTAAAATATTTTACCAGACGGACATTAAAATAAAATTTAGGAAACTACCCTATTTAGATCAGTAGTTATGAAGAGTAGCACGTTCAACACAAGTATACAGAGTGTAATCGGAACGCTCGCAAACGTTGACAAAAAGAAATAGTTTTTACAATTTTAATCGTTTCTGTTTTCATGTTATTTTTTTTATGGCATAAGCCGGTAAACGAGCAGACGGATCACCTGATGGTAAGCAATCGGCGTCGCCCATTGACACCTGGAACACCAGAGGCGTTACAAGTGCGTTACAGCGTGCGATTCAGGATTGGGGAGATTGGGGTAGGGGAGAGTAATTGGGCCTCCGGTAACCTCACTCACACGACGAAACACAAAGCAAGCGTTGCTTCACGTCGGTTTTCTGCTCGGCCGTGGTATCACTCCGGTCAAGCCGGCGCATTCGTGCCGTAGCATGGCTCTCCCACACTATTTATCCAACATCAGCCTTGAGCAGTTCATTACAACTGTTATTCATCATATACAGCCTATAAATGCCCACTGCTGAGCAAAGCCTCTTCTCACACGGAGAAGGTTTGAGCATTAATCACCACGCTTGCTCAATGCGGGTTGGTGATTACAAACTTATAATTAGAAATTATAAGCCTAGGTTTCCTCACGATGTTTTCCTTCACCGTGTGTCAGTGGTGTCTAAATAATCTTAGAAAGTACATATAACTCGGAAAAAGTCAAATTGGTACTTGCCGTTGGTAGGTTTCGAACTGTACTACGAACTAAACTAAGTCTGGGAGAGCCATGCTTCGGCACGAATGGGCCGGCTCGACCGGAGTGACACCACGGCCTAGCAGAAAACCGACGTGAACGAACGCATGCGTTGTGTTTCGTCGTGTGAGTGAGGTTACCGGAGGCCCAATAACCCCCCCCCCCACATTTTCTCAGTCCCTGAATCCCCAACAATCTTCAAATTCTTAATCCCCAAAAGGCCGGTAACGCACTTGTAACGCCTCTAGTGTTCCAGGTGTCCATGGGCGACGCTGATTGCTTACCATCAGTCTGTCTGCTCGTTTACCGGCTTATCCCACAAGAAAGCTATGATAAAATGACTT